GCACACATTTAGTGCGTATGACTTACCCCAAACATTCCTGGTAGCTGGAGCCATAGAGCTACAATTCCCTTATTTATTTATTTTTATTTATTTACAGCTGGGTTTCCCAAACTTGGGTCTTCAGCTCTTTTTGGACTACAGTTCTCATCATCCCTGACCACTGGTCCTGCTAGCTAGGGATGATGGGAGTTGTGGTCCAAAAAACATCTAGAGACCCAAGTTTGAGAAACCCTGCTTGTCAACCGAAAAGGCTTCCAGAGTGATTTACATACCACCTAGGATTATTGGGTGAAAGCCATGTGCTTTAAATGTATGGTATAGATCTGCCCATACAGCGAGTTTGAATCAAAATCCAGGTTCCTTTTAAAAATATCTTGCGCATCGTTGCCTGGGCCCTTGCAAGCAACACCAGGACTGTACACTGTAGTATGATTCTCCAGCATATATATTATTATTTTTTTTGGGGGGGGAGGTATTGTAAACAAACAAAAAACAACCCTGAAGAGTGATGTGAATAAATTGTTTTCCACTTAAACATTTTTAAATATTGCAAACAGCACCTCTTACAGCAGATTACTCAATTATACTTATGCTGCAAACCTGCATCCTCTGTGTGACTACTTCTGAGTAGACATGTGAACGCATATACTCTAGAGCAGACTCAAAGAACTGCTTTTTGCCAGACATAGTTAAGTGTCCTGACAGCAGCCCAGATCAACTGAAATTTCATCCTTTGCTAGCAGCCATTTTCTCAGTGTTCACAAGCAAAATGTGGGAACTTATTTATAGGTGTTAAGTATGTGGGAAATCACCACATGCACTGGCTGTGTGAATCCATACTGACAGCTTGCACAACCATTGTCTGTAATGTAAGCTGACTTTTTGTAGTTTGCCAAAGCTTTACTGCAGGCTCTCTGTTGGTCAATTGCAGATATAGAACCCACCAAGGAGAACCAACCAATTATGAGGTTGCATGGATATGGTGCACTAGCGGGGCTTGAGTTGCCTTGACTTTAAAAAAAGCTTTCTGAGTTCGTACCAGTTGCATCATCTATCCATGCCTATTGCTAATGGAACCTTAGTCTTATGTAAGGGTGTTGTGAAGATTAATGTCCTGCTTGAAGAATAGGTTGGGCAGGCTCTTGGGCTATATTATTAAGAACACATGTACAAATTTACCAAGAAAAGTTCTTATTTCATATACTGTACATGACATCTGGCAACCCTAACTGCAAAAGCCCAATGAAGTCACCAAACATACAGAATCAAAAGCATGAAACTATCCTGCAACTGGAAACTATATAATGACCCTTGTGGAATAAACTTCCAACTCAACATTTAGTTATATCATGTGTCAACTTTGAACCATGAGCTGCTTTTTGGCGGGACCTGGCCTTAGTTTTGGTCATCCAGAAAACCCACAGGAGTACTATTTATTTGTATATTGTATTTCCCCTGAAACTTTGTGTCCAAACTGGTTTATAGGATGGACAATTTAAATACAGTAACCATAATTATAATATATTGCAATTACCAATTCAACAACTGCAGTTCATTTAAAGAAGCATAAAACATACCAACAGGTCAGTGAACAACATCCAATACTAATATCAGTATTATGCTCATATTAAGCCATCCATTCAAAAGTTAATACAAGTCCCACCAGGGGCGGAGGAAGGGGGGTGCGGTGGGGGTGGGTCACCCTGGGTGTCACCATTGAGGGGGGTGACAAAATGCTGGGCAGCACCACTCCAGGTGCCCGATCCGCTTGCTCCGCCGCTGACTCTAACCATACAAGTCTAACCTCCCCCACAAAGTAGCAGAAAAAGAGGAAATGTTTTTTTAAAATCGCAAGACACTTCAGACAGCGCACTCTAGATAATAATTATCATTTGAGAGTTGGACTTCCACATTCAGTTTCACATACCCTGAAAAGGCTCCAGCTGAAACTAGTTGACCAACTTTTGTTGCTTTGTGTTGCCAAGTCTGCTTGGTCCCCACTGCACTGTTCAACCTGGGAAATTCTATTGACTCACCGCCAGCGATATAGGCAAGCAGTTCTCGATCCTCTTTGAGAGTAAGTACTTCTTCTTTCTGCAAACATGTCTAATTACAAATGCTAGAAAGTTGTGGGCTCCTGTACCATAATTTCTATAATTAGCTACAAGTGCAGTTAGCATGATGGTTTCAAAGGAAGGCTGATTAAGACAGGGGGCGGCAAAGTTTTTATGGCTTGGGCCGGTTCATGGTCCTGTAGATGCTGCAGTGGGCCAGAGTGTGTTCGCATGCATGCATGCATGCGCAAATGCTATTTCCAGCATTTCTACTGGTGTGGAGGAGGCGTGTGCAGCTTCCCATTGGCTGCAGGAGCTTCTTGCAGCCAATGGGAAGCTGGCCAGCATCGCGGAAGGTGGTCCGCACTCTGCTCCGGGCCGGTTTAGCGCGGCGCACGGGAGCCGACCAAGCAGGCGGCAGGTGTCCCAAGCGGGCGGCGGGGGTCCATGGGCTGATTAAATGACCCCCACGGGCTGCTTGTGGCCCATGGGCCTTAGGTTGCTGACCCCTGGATTAAGAGCTAAAACATGGGTAGGCAAACTAAGGCCCAGGGGCCGGATCCAGCCCAATTGCCTTCTAAATCTGGCCCGCAGATGGTCCAAACGTATTTTTACATGAGTAGGATGTGTGCTTTTATTTAAAATGCATCTCTGGTTATTTGTGGGGCATAGGAATTCGTTCATTCCCCCCCCCCCCAAAAAAAAATATAGTCCGGCCCCCCACAAGGTCTGAGGGACAGTGGACCGGCCCCCTGCTGAAAAAGTTTGTTGACCCCTGAATTTTAAAATGATTCACATAATAACTTTTAAAAAGGGGGACAATCAGTGCTCTTTTTTCCCTAAAGAAATGTTTAGGGGTACTGTCATTTTCCCACGCATATTGAAATACTGTCCCTCAATGAGGCCAAACTTAGATTCACAAAATGTTTAGGGGTATGCGGCCCCCTGCATCCCCCCAGAAAAAAAAGCACTGGGCCAATATTATAACAAGCTTTTGAGTTTCACAAGACTTTTCTTGACTGCTGAACTTTCTTGATTTTAAGGCTTATTATGCTAATCTACCATTGGCCTATTAAGAAGGTGTTGCTTGAAGCCCAAGGGATCACAAAACCTTGCGAGGTTTCACGGATGATGAGAATAGGGGTATGCTTGAATAATCTCTATTCTCACATCAAGGATCATTTGGTGAACACCACTGTCTCCTCTGTTTTATATTAGTGAAGACTGTTCACCTCCTGTGTGTTCATTTGCCCAGCAATAATACAGGTATGTCCTCCATGCACTTAAGAGCCAGCAGTGTGTTTACTGTTTTGGTTTCAGACAAACATAATTGTTTCAGAAAACAATTGTTTCTGGTTTCAAAAAAACCCACAATTGTTTCATAAATGGTATGTTATCCACAAACCTCAGTAGCTGTTGCATGTGAAATGGCAGGTTTTGTGCTCTGCAGTGCCTCAGAATGTGTGCACATAGATGTACCTTTCTGTGCACTGGAGACAATGTGCATCCATTTCTGACTCAGATGTTCTGCTTCTAGAGAGCTGGGGCTGGGAGCTGAGCCCTAAAGCACAATGACATCAGTAACTCAGGCTAACCACATTTTAACTTGAAAACAAGTAGCGCCCATCCTTGGCAAACAGGGAGGATTGGAGTGAATGCAAGTCCAAAACAGCCAATGTTTAGCCCAATGGTGGCTAATGTAGTGTCCTCCTGATATTTTGGACTACAATCCCCATCATCCCTAGCCAACATGGCCAATGGTCAGGGGTGATGGGGGTTGCCATCCACAGCATCTTGAGGAAACCATGTTGGCTACTTTTGGTTTAGAACAACGAAGGAAATGGCGGAAGAGGTCTCTTTGGATACAGTGCAGAGGGGAAGCTAGGATTAGCGGAGGCTTGTAAAAAAACTCATTTGCCTGAGGCAAATAATTACTTCCCAACTGCAAACAGCCTGGGAAATATTTATAAATTAGTAAGCTCACTGACATGTGGTCTATTTATGCATTGTATTCTCTGACTGGCAGTAACAGTAGCCGGTCTGCCTCAATGAGAGATCTTTCCTGCTCTCCTTTTAATCTGACCTTTGACCTTCTGCAGGCAAAGTTAAGAGCTACAGCCCCTCCATAAAAAAGGTAAAGGGACCCCTGACCATTAGGTCCAGTCATGACCGACTCTGGGGTTGTGGCGCTCATCTCGCTTTATTGGCCCAGGGAACCGGCATTTGTCTGCAGACAGCTTCCGGGTCATGTGGCCAGCATGACTAAGCCGTTTCTGGCAAACCAGAGCAGCACATGGAAACGCTGTTTACCTTCCCGCCGGAGCGGTACCTATTTATCTACTTGCACTTTGACGTGCTTTTGAATTGCTAGGTTGGCAGGAGCAGGGACCGAGCGACGGGAGCTCCCCCCGTTGCGGGGATTCGAACCACCGACCTTCTGATCGGCAAGCCCTAGGCTGTGTGGTTTAGCCCACAGTACCACCTGCGTCCCTCACAGCCCCTTCATATCTGGGAGTTATTTTTCTTTTCTTTTAGACCTTCAGTGTGCCATAAAAAGGGAGAGCTGATGTCGTCCTAGGTAGGCAGAACCTGGGCAATCTTAACTGACCAGGGAAATGTTCTGCTTTGTAACTCACCTGGGGCAATAGTGCATATACTTCATGCATTCTGCTCCTAACCTCAGCAGCTCCTGATGCTTGCTTGCAAAGTGGGTTTAGTGTAGGCGTGCAGATCCATGAGCAGGCAAATGCATCACTGCTTTACAGCTGGCACAACCACCAGCCTTCGCGGGTTCAAGATAACTAGGAGGAGAACCTTTCTGCCTCACACGTCATAAAGTGCCGTGTGTCTCTAGCGTGCCAAATTATGAGACAGCGGAGGATATGAAAGAGGATGATGCCCCGCTCCCTTTCCTTCCTCTTTCCAAAGAACTGAATGTAAATCTCTGGGAGGGCCATGGATAAGCAGAGGATGCCTGGCAGAAAGTTTGGGTCGAGCCGCCGGAAGCAAGCAAGGGGGACCTGGGGAAGCACACGGGTATCTTCGATCTCAGAGGAAGAGCCATGCCTTTCTGAACTCATGGAAAAGGTTCGGGACCTCTCCCAGGGACATGGAAAAAAGGAAGGTTTCATCACACGAGCTGATATGCAGGTAAATTGGTGGTGCGTGTACATCATTTGCTTTTGAGGGCCAGATATTTTTCTTGCTGGAAGCTTCAGACATGTTGCCTCTTGACAGTGGAGGTAGAATACCTTAATGATGGATGAGAAAAGGCCTGGCAAAAACCCTGATCTCGACTTTGCCTTATCATGGATCATGCTGTGTGACCAAAAGACAAAGAATTATCATCTTAACATTATTTAGGTGTCTATGACCCTGCATATAGCATGAAATGCTTTTCCACTCGATGTTATGATGTTGGGTCTGCTAATCAGACCTTTTTTATTGTCCCAGGCACTGCTAATGCCAATAAGAGCCTGTAGACAGGAGATCCAATATACTTTTGTATATTCAACTGAATAAAGCGCACAAACATCTCCAAAGAAAGGGAAGGAAAATGCCGGCCACAAGGACTCTTGTGCCAGGCTTTTAAAACATTGATTTTTCCCTCTCTCCCCCTTTCTCCCTCCTCCTTTCTTCCATCTGCTTTCTGATTGGTTAAGACTTACAGTTTATAGATTTCCCAGAACACCCATTTCATGTCTTACTCCTTGGCATGTGAAGGAGGGGAGCACACACATCACATGTGCATTTAGATTAGCCTTAGCCCCGCCCTGGGTTTGTCTTCTAATATTCATGAGATCCTAATAGGCTCCAGAACATGTGCAGAGTCCCCAAAGTAGCACCTGCTATTTCTTTTTGTTATCTTGGATTGTCAATCTTTCACTCTTAGGTGCCTCTTGGCTATATCTACAGGCCTTGAGAAATAAAATTCCTCCTTAACACATTCCAGGCAAGAGCTGATAAGAGGTAATTAACGAGTCCCTAACAAATAGACAAAAGGAAGAGATTCAGCTTTAAAAGACCAGGTTAATGGACTGCAAACTAAATAAATAAATAAATAAATAAATTTTATTCTTTAGCATAACACTTGATAGGTTCTCCAGCAGGGAAACAGACACAGCAAACACAGTTTTATACAGCTAGCTATTTTATATAAAAACAGGACCACCAATCATTTCTGACCCCGCAATGACACTGAGGGCACCTTTTTGGCAGACCGAACTGTTTACTAGCCGTCTGAGAACAAAGGGACTGATACCAGGGACTTAACTTCACATTTGTATTGTTTTCAGAAATTGGAGGCAGACTTTCCTTGGAGCACCAAAGAGCTGGAGCTTGTGTTTGATGGCCTGGATACTGACAGCAAGGGCTACTTAACCACAGAAGAGTTCACTGAGGGGCTTAGTATGCATTGCTTTAGTGTGTTTACGTTACACTGATGGGGCTGATAATGTGCAATGTTTGTCTGCAATCCTATGCACACCGTACTTGGCAGGAAGCCCCCATTTTCAGGGAAGTGCAGAAGTTTGGAGCAATGGTTGCTGTGCAAAGTATTGCAGCAGCATCCGCATTATTATTATTATCGTTTTATTAGTAGTGGTCACTCTCTTCGCAAAAGTGATTCAAAGCGAGTTACAGAAACAAACATGGAAAATAAGAGTAAAAACAACCTAAAATGCTCGCCGATAAAAGAGTGTGTCCAACTCAACCCAACCCACTGAAAAGATAAGCAGAAGATTAACATCCAAAAAGCATGGGTCAGTGAAAATATCTGGTGTCCAAAAACAGATAGGGATGGCATCAAGCATGCCTTCCTGGGGAGAGCATCCACAAACAGGAGCCACCACGGAGAAGGCCTGTTCTTGTGTTGCCAACCTCTGCACCTCCCTTTTGGGAGGCATAAAAAATTCCAGCCTGTATCTGCTGTCTCCGTTGCCTATTTAATCCAGATTTACCCTTTCCGGGTAAAACAATCCAACCAGGAAAAGGAAAACGCCCACTGTTGCCTGCCAATGACCTCTCCACAATATTAAGCCCCTGTCTGGAAGCCTCTTGATTCTGACAGTCTGTCTAGATCAACACGAGGATCAGCAGAGTGCTTGTGGCAGTTGCTCTAGTTCAGCATGTCTCGTTGTAGCTAGTTATTTGGTCCTAGGGGCCAAATACTGCTTTGAAACTGTTCTGTATTGCACCATGTCTGTCCAGAGGTGTGATTTTCATTGTCTATGTGGCAGGGTATTTTCTGAGCTCACAGACGGTGGCAAGAGCGCACCGGAAGAGAAAGATGCCTTCCGTAAAGGCTCCTACCCACCTGTCTCTGGAGGAAGCTGACACAGAGGAGCAAATGTGCTTTAAGGCCTTCCTAAACCAACTGGGAGCTGACAACATCTTTGAAGAGTAAGTGCATGCAAACCTTATGCTAGTTTTATACTGAATCTCACAACAGAAGATCCAGGCAAAGGAGGAATAGGGAATAGGTGAAAGAGTTTTGGTGTTGAATTTTGCACTTAAGCTTGAGTTACTATAAGGGTTGTGGAAGTGGAAAGTCTGTAGGAAGATGCTCTGGATCTTGAAGATCATGTTTCAACACCCTGAGTTAAGGAAGTAGCTCTTGGGGCTTGAAAGCTGGGATTGGTCCTACCATTGGGTAAAGGGAGGCAACTACCTCAAGTGCTGTGATAAAAGTGCTGTGGGTACAAGCACAAAATGGCTGCCATGGGAAGCAAAAAAAAAGAGGTGATGGTACTTGATACCAATAGGTACACTCACAAAAAGGCAACAGTAATAATTAATATGGCCTAGACACTTTCCTATTTTATCTACTAATTAGTTATTTTCAAAGTGACACACATGGCGATAAGAGGTATTTCAGCTTTTGCAATAGCTGCTTTACAGCCTTATTGATCCACATGCTTGTTCTTAGGAAGAAACAAAACTGCTCTCAGATCCTAAGAACAGTTGAGACAGGCTGTCCTGATTGAGAGGTCCCCTGAGGATTCAGGTGGATCAACAGAATATTCGCTGGAAAATGAGACAATCTTCTCTCTTGCAGCCAGTCAGAAATCTGGAAGATTTGGGTGCAGCTCCGACAGGATGAACCACATCTGCTGGGAAACCTGAAAGAATTCTTGGCTAAAATGACACACTTGATCAAAGAATCGAGGGGCGCAAAAGAGACACTGCAGTTAATACTGAAAACGTAGGTCACTGGATGTACGAGTAAAGCGCGGAAACTGCTTTTGTAAATGCAGCTTTCTGGAATGGGTAGAAAGACTCCAGGAAAAGGGAATTTGGAACCCAAAGGATAGAAAAGGTTTGAGTGTTTGCATTTGTAGAGAGAAGAGGGGGGCATACATAGCTCAACAGAAGAGGCTGTGGCTTTCCTTCAGAAAAGTGTTCCCCAACCTGGTGCTCTTCAGGTGTTTTGCAGTGTAGCTCCCACCAGCCAGCAAAGCCTTGCTGGACAAGTCTGATGGACGTTATAGTGCAACATATCTGAAGGGTACTAGGTTGGGAAAGGCTGTTGTGGAAAAGCACAGGCAGACCTAGCGGACAGTTAGGTTGGTCCCAGCCAAGGGCACAGGCTGGGGGCAGCACAAAAATTGCGCCTTGGGTGGGGAATCTGGCCTCAGTGGGGAATCTGGCCACTGGCATGGACCTTCACAGCAGCCCTCCCCAGTCAGCCATCAGTGTTGACAGTTAGTCTGTGCAGTGGGGCTCCCCATGAGGGCACCTCTACTTGGCCCTGTGGCTGCTGTTCACCGCCCTCTGCTCCCCTGGCTAGCCCTGAGAGTGGCATTTCGGCAGATGTGGTGACTGAGAAATGTCAGGCGAGGCTTTTAATTTACCACTGCTGATTCGCTTTTCCCTGGTTTCTTTCCCACCTTGACCAGCTTCCAGCACATGCACCCCTGCATGTTTACCCCAGAGAGCAAGGGTCATTGACTTAAGCGTGGCACTGTGGGTTTACCACAGAGCCTAGGACTTGCCAATCAGAAGGTCAGCGGTTCGAATCCCCACAATGGGGTGAGCTCCCGTTGCTCAGTCCCTGCTCCTGGTCAGAAGGTCCTGCCTCTGGCTTGCCAGATTTAGGCTGCTATCATGTGTACCCACTTTCCTGGGAGTAAGCCGCATTAAACTTGGCGGGATTTACTTTTGAGTGTACATTTAGAGGATTGTGCTGTTAAACACCCAGTTTAAGAATCATTTGTAATGATTGAATTATGTCAATCTTTTTCTGGAGCTGGGCGGGAGGTGCCGATACATCTCCTTGCCAAGGGAGCCCAGGTATGGCTCTGGTCACAGGTTCAATTCCTGTCATCTCCTTTTAAAGAATCATAATCTCAGCATAATTTTCCAGTCCTGGCCTGACACGGAGCCATGTTGAGATCAGCAAATGAAGGGGCCTGGGGCCAATTCTGCTCTCTTAAGGCACATGGGTAGGTACTGTGGTTCTTTCCAGATATTGCGGGCTTTGACTCCCATCCTCCAAGAACGTTGGCCAGTCTGGCTGGTGCTGATGTGAGCTGTAGCCCATAACGTTTGGAGGGTAACCGTGTTACCCACCTTTAAACAACTCTGCTTTAAAGCCTTCTTGTTTGCTCCCCTGCACTAGACGAGTGGCTGATCACAACAAGGAGGTGCAGCAGTTATATGAGGAGCTGGAACAGCAAATAGACAAGGAGACAAGGAGGCTGCAGCTTGAGGTTGGTGCATAACTGGATCATGTGTAATTCCTCAGATTTATGAGAAGGGGTGTGCTGAGTTTTCCTTTTAAGTTCCTGCCCTCTCCCAAAAGCTCAGGGTGGATCACACCATTTAAATCACCATTTAAATCCTCGTTAACAACACATGATGGTGTTGTTCTAGTGCTGCACAATGACCCCAGGGGCAGATGCCTCATCATAAGACAGTCAGCAGGAGAGAGAGCTGTGAAAAAGGACTCTGATCCAAAACATGGAGAAGGAATAAGGCTGCAATCCTATGCGGAAGTAAGCCCCCTCGAACTGAATGGGGCTTGTTTCTGAGTAGACGTGTAAAGGACTGTACTGTAATCGTCTTTGCTTTTTAGAAAGCATGTTCTCAGAACCCTTGTGCGGGCAGAGGAGAACAATTCTAATATAGCCAGCACCACCTGCAATTAGGGGTGGAAGGACCTGTCAATTCCAGTTCTCACACTTTCTCATTATAATTTTTTTGAGTCTTAAATTCAGTTTGCCACATTTTGCAACAACCTGTGCTTAAAAAAAAAAAAAAGAACCCTCATGAAAATTCACCAGCAGTTTAGGACAAAGTTCATAGATGCCTGCCTGATTTCTTATGGGAGTGGGCACTGCCTCCTTGTTGACATGAATTGTTCTTTGGATACATGGGGAACTAAGATGATACTCTTAGGCAGTGCTCCCCCCCCCGAAAAAAATAGGTACTGGGACTCACCTTGAAGTTGTTACAGTAAGTGCCACACTTTTTAGCAACAAAACAAAAAAAAAGGTGCCCGTACTGTGTACTCTTGAGTACCCCTTGGGAAAAAAGTACTGCTCTCAGGTCTTTGGCAAACATCTCCCTTCCCAAATATATCTAATATTTGCTTGTAGCTGGCTTTCTTAATGTGACTATTCTCCGTTATGAAAATTTCACTTGTAGGAATTTTTTAAAAAAGGATATTATAACACTTATAATGACAGGGGCCTTCACAGTTCCTGATTTCTTATAAAAGGGCAAAAAATATTAACGTTTGACTATACACAGTGTGCTTTGGCTTGATGTCATTGCACAATGGGAAATTCAAAAAACCAACCAGCCATATAACACTTCACACAAGGCACTAAAATGTCACACTTTTGTTCTATCTGTGAATGCAGAAATTGCATGTATATTGTAGTCAGAGTAGGTTTCATTCCCCTTCCTTCCCTGCATTATTCTATAATATAATATATAGAATCTAGATACTAACAGCAAACTCATTATCCAAATATGGATCTTTATGTAGAAAAACCACTAGTATCCACTCCGAAGAGGGAGATATCAGAAGGCTTAGGAGAATCCAAAGTTTGGATAAGTACAAAAAATATGTAGAATAAAATTCAGGGCAGGGGGAACCCCAAAACAGCTCAGTGGGGATTGAACATGCCTAGTGGGCACAGAATGCTGACCAGGGGAATGGTGTGGAAACGGAATGGAGTATCCTGAAAAAGGATACGGTTGTCTGGAAGCATGAACAAGAGCAAACCATGCTGCAACTTTTTGTTGCATGCTCCACTTGTGCTTTGACTCAAATGCAAAGCAGGCTTCATGTGTGAACGTCCCCTGGAAAGCTATAGCTTCACCACCTTTGTTTATTGCAGAGTAAAACCCAAAGCCAATTCCTCAGCGTGGAGATGAAAGAACTGTTGGATGCCAGGGAAAGGGAAATACAGCATTTCCTCGATGTTCAAAAAGAGGTAAGGTTATCCATGTGACATGAGGGAACAGCACCATCTACTGGAAGCATCTCCTCTGGCTAAAACAAAAGCATCATCCACATGTAGGGTTGCCATATGTCCTCTTTTCCCAAGACACGTCGTCTTTTTCATGATGAGAATCTCCATAGCTTCAAGTTAAAAGTTGAAGTCGGCAAATGTGTCCCCTTTTTTGCTCTTCAAAATATGGCAACCCTACACACACAGCTGCTTGCAGTGTGGCTGAATATTTCTGATATAATCAACATGATTCGCCAACATCATGACCTCCTGGTGTTGTTGGACTACCAATCCCATCAAAGGATGGAAACTGTAGTCCAGCCATATCTGGGTACACTGCAGTGCTTCCAATTACTCAGGGACCATGGCCTTGTTTCACTGAAAAATCTCTCACACCATTGTCCAGTAGTGATGTATGGAAGTGAGAGCTGGACCATAAAGAAGGCTGATCGCCGAAAAATTGATGCTTTTGAATTATGGTGCTGGAGGAGACTCTTGAGAGTCCCATGGACTGCAAGAAGATCAAACCTCTCCATTCTGAAGGAAATCAGCCCTGAGTGCTCACTGGAAGGACAGATCGTGAAGCTGAGGCTCCAATACTTTGGCTACCTCATGAGAAGAGAACACTCCCTGGAAAAGACCCTGATGCTGGGAAAGATGGAGGGCACAAGGAGAAGGGGACGACAGACGACAAGATGGTTGGGACAGTGTTCTCGAAGCTACGAACATGAGTTTGACCAAACTGTGGGAGGCAGTGGAAGACCAGTGCCTGGTGTACATGGGGTCACGAAGAGTCGGACATGACTAAACGACTAAACAACAAAATTGTCCAGGCACAATAGGGTGTGATGTTTGATACCCTGAGATAAGGCACTCCAGGAAGAAGAATCCTGGGACCTATAGTTTACGTTTCACAGAACTACAATTCCTAGCACCTTTAACCAACTACAGTCCCAGGATTCTCCTTTCTGGAAGGGAGAGGAAATGTGCTTTCAATGTATGATGTGAATGCAGCACTTGTTAGCCTCTGGCCCTGGTCAAAATGGCTTCAGTCTCCAGTGTGTGAGAGAGAAAGACAGAGAATGTGAATCAAATGCTGTTTTCAGCTGTTTCATTGCTTTTCTACTGACCACATGAACATAGCTGTCAACGTTTCCATTTTTTTAAAGGAAATTTCCTTTATTCTGAATAGGATTCCTCGCAAGAAAAGGGAAAAGTTGACAGCTATGCACCTGAAAGGAGTTTGAGAACCTCATGTCTAAGAGGCTTGACCATTTTACTTGTAGAAGGGTCTAGCCCATGCAGAAGATAGACATGTAATAAAGTAAATAAATTGAAATGTCAATCTCACATTTCCTGCAAGGTTCTTCCCCCATTTTTATCCTCACAAGAAGAACCCCATGAATGTAAGTTAGACTGAGAGACTGTGACTCTGTGAGCTTTGAATCCTGTTCTTCTTCTAGGTACTAGTCTAGCACTGTAACCACCACACTGCTAGTTTTCTTTTACTTCATTGAACACTTTCTATATTCCTTTCTCAGCTTGAGACACAGTTTCTCAGCCTTAGAGAAAAGCAGCACGTGGCCAGTACCCAAACCCAGGAGCTCAAACAAACCAACAAGGCCCTTGAGGACCAGCTACAAAAAACCCTCAATCAGCTTCAAAAGACCCAAAGGCAACTGGATTTCATGAGGGGTAGAGTATCTCAGTTACACAAAGAAGAGAGGTGAGTCCTAACCACCACAGTGTCACCTTTTTTTGGGGTGGGGAAGATACACTGTAGAGAACCCCTTTTGTAGCCTAACTTGTGGCAGATATTTCATTTGAAGGCTTTCCAAGGTTCAACGAACTAGCTTTGATCTGGTGGAAAAGAGAGTGGCTTCCCCAGATACACTTGCACTGGGAACTAAGTGTTGCATCATCAGAACACCTACGGCCCCTGACATTTGTTCATTCTATCCATTAGTCAGATTTGATGATGAGGTAAAAGCAGACTAGCTCCGCAGACTGGACTATTTGCTGCCCCTTGGAAAGGTTGGTGGTGGTTAGGCTATTTTGGCCATTGCTTCTGGCAGGGATACCTCTTCCTGAGGTACACCTCTCAAAAGATGTCACTTTTCCAAAAAAGCTACAGCATAAATTGAGTGGAGCAGTTCCACTGTCCCTCACAGCCCCCTTGAGATAACATGCACTTCCTGCTTGCACTGTCCCACTTCCTGTTGGTACCATTCCATTTCTTGTTGGCATCCTGCCATCCTCAATATATGCCGTTACACGCATTGCAGCACTATTGCTGCTACTAGGCTTGTGCCCCTGTAGAAGCAACTCATTTTAGTATACAGGGACAGTGACCATGTATCCCTTCTTTCCTTGGCAGTGGCAGATCGCCAGAGGAAGTCTCTGTCAAGACTGCTCAGAGTCAACAGGTACTTCTTAATTGTTCACCTTGCATCCTTTGTCAATCAGAACTGACCCCCCCCAATGGGGTGGCACCATAATTAGCAACCTAAGTGTTGCCCTGGAAAGGCTGCCTAGCTATGAGTACTGTATATTAATGCATCTGACATAGTGCTTTCAACCAGCAGGTAGGATTATGGGAGAATCTCCACTCTCATGGGCCCTGGGGATAGTATCTAGCACCCTACATGTATAGTAGCACCATTAGAGAAACCTGGTTACATTAAATCAGGCTTCCCCAAGCATCTGTTAACCAATGTACATTTTTTCTTCTGAACCGAAATTGGAGGCACACTTCACTCAAACTATCCAAAATGATTAATGCAACACAATCCTTGTGCATATTTACTTGGGTAGTAAGGCCCCTTAAGTTCAAGGGTGTGTGTAGAGAATTGCAACCTTAGATAGCGCTCCTATGCACACTTACCTGGGAATAAGTCCCACTGAGGTCAATGGGGCTTCTATTGGAGTCTTTTATATAGTAATTGATTTTATAAAACTCATATACCACTTGATTGTAGAAAAAACCCTCAAAACGGTGTGTAGACATGCATAGGGATTTACAGAGGTAAAAGAGACCAATTTTCATTAGAGGCTATCTCCCATATCTCTGCATGAGTCAGTGTTCTGGACATGCCTTCTGTGTACTGCAGATAGAGGCAAAATCAGAGCAGTGACTTGTGATGAGATTCAACAGGCAGCCTCTTCTAAGTGTGAGCGATTCAGTTGCATGTCTGTATCAGGACTGACCCAGTCTCTCCTCCCCCCACATGTGTGATTAGAAATAGGCAAGGCCAGTGCAGTAGATCATGCAGAGATTCAACAGGCATCCTCCCCCATAAGTGGATACTGAAATTGGTAGTAAGTGATCCTTATTTCTTTTTCTGCCTTTATCCCATTGTGATTCTTCTAAGGGTCATCTGAGTGCAAATGAGATGAGCTCTTCTGAATTGGTAGGAAAATTTGGATACAATCCGAGTGAGGATACACTGGACAGCTCTGCTCAGAAGTAAGTACCAAATACTCCTTTAATACATTTAAGTGAGGAATGCCAGTGGCAGCGGTCTTCGTTGAAGCTGGGTCCATGCTCTGGCACTGAAGAAGTTATGTTATTTCTATCTGCAGCCCTGATATTCTCATGACCTTTCACATACGCCGCACCCAGAAAGCCAAATGCATGTTTGAAAAGTATCCTGGGGCCAAACAGATTAGATTAGATCAGATTTAATATTTGTATGCAGCTTTGCCAATGACAAAGCTGATCTCAAAGTGGTTCAAGAACAATAAACAGAGCTTCCCCCACTGACATTCCATCATTAGACAAATAATAATAATAATAATAATAATAATAATAATAATAATAAATAATGTCCCACCACATTACCAAGACATTGCCATTAAAGGGTTGCCAGCCCCAAGGTGAACCCAGTACATTCATTTGTTTTGTCTGCCTAGCTCTTGAAGAATGCCTCAAAATTAACTTTGGCAGAATTTTTAGCTCTCCCCCATAAAATCAAAATACTGCTTATCAGTGGATTGTAAGAAGAGCCGTGGAAACAGACAGAGTTTAGAGTACGGTTGATCTTGAAGATTCTCATATTCTTTAGCGGTTTAATAAATGCCCTGTTACCTCATTTTTGTGGAATGACTCTTAGTTTACCAACACGTTTCTCTTTGGCCTTTTGATATACATTACTGCTTTCATCCCTCACTGTGTTTATAAGAAGAAACATGCATGTTAGAAACAGATATACTCAGTCTTTACTCTGCGAAAGCAGCAAACATAAGAGCCCAGAAGTCTTGCTGGTGGTTGAGTTAGCATTTCATAGGCCCATGAGATCTTGATGTTCTCCAGCAGGAATTGTGTGCTACTAAGGCCTTGTTTCTTACTTTCCTTATCTTGTACTGAATGAGTGCTGTTCTATCCATCATTTCCCCATAGGGCACCTGGTGGTGTGGCATCAATGGCCAAAGCCGACTCAGAATCTAGAACTACTAGAGTGATCTCCATTGAAGAGGATCCTTGGGTAGACTCCGTTGTAGAACCAGAAAAATATTTCCCACAGGAAGTCGTGGACCAAAGCTCTTTGCTTAGAGAGCTGAATGATGCCATAGCAGCAGTAAACAAGGTGTCTGAATCATCAAACAATCCACAAATAGATAAGTTTGGTTTTCAGTTCTTGGGCCAAATTAGAGAGAGTGGAAATTCTCAGCAAAGAAAAATGCAGGAAAAAATAACTCCATATGATGCTAGCTCCAGAAACCGTGATCTGCAGAAGAGAAGCGCTGAGGCTCGTCCCGGTCGAGCTTCATGGCAAAGAGATGCTCTACTTCAAGAAAGACTAACTTGTGCTCCGGAGGTGAAGAATGCAAACATCTCTGAGCCAAGAAGGGAAGTCAAAACTCTAGAGTCAAAGCAGAGAGGATGTATTCTTGTCCCTGAAGTGAAGTCTTCTGTTTATAAAGAGTTGACAAGTCCAGCCGGTGACTATAAAGAAGACTCGATGCAAGGAAAGTCTCTCATTTTAGAACAGGCAATCCAACTTCACGAGCAAGTTTTAAAGTGCAGTGGTGGCAGCCGGACTCAATGGCCACCTGCAGATTCTGAGCAGAGAGTGATAAAGCAATCTCCAGAAATTAAAACATCAGAGAAAAAGATAGCTGAGACTCAACACCCATCAGTGGAAGATACGCCGCCTGCTCATTCCTCACCCAGAATAGCCTTACCCAAGTTGGATGAAGGATGTGAGCCAAAGATCTCTGTTTTCCAAAACCACCAGTTAGAGAATATGCTCCAACCAGAGATGCAAACACAAACCACGGAGGGTCTAGAAGTAACATTATCAGAAGACAAAAGAGAAGGATGCATGGATTTGCCAGGGTGTAGGAAGAATCAAGAGGTCAGGGTAGAAATGGATGAGGAAACAAATGTCAAAGCAGAAGCTGCAGACTATCCAGTGGATGTGGATGCAAAAGATACTCCTAAAGACACCGCAGCTGTTTTCTTTTGTCCAGACCACATGTATAATGTGCTCTTTGTTGGAGACTCTAATGTTGGCAAAACGTCTTTTTTGCACCGACTGCAAGATGATTCCTTCGATGCAAATATGACTGCGACTGTAGGTATGAATCAATCTTTCACCAGCAGGTAACAAGAGACACTGAGTCGTCTCTCCCATAGGAGCCAATTCCTAGGGGCCAAGGGGGCTTTGCCCCCCAATAAGATATTTGAGGGAGCCAGGACCCCCCAGATTGATGGGGATTGCCATTCAAATGGTGTGTGTGCACTGCATCATGCGATCAGTTATGCAGGACGGGGCTTACCTGCCCCCCATATTTTATTCAAGTTGGCACCCCCACCCCTAGGCTAGATGTGTTTATTTCTAAGGCTCCTAGCCCCATGGGGTGTGTTGTCTCTGTTCTAATCTCATTGAGCATTTGTGTCTGGAGATAAACCGCCTCTTCCCATGTACTGTGTTTGAACCAAGAATTGGGCTCCCCGGTGCCCATCTCTAATTAAGAAAAAATAAGATAGCTAGTTGCCTGCTATGTATTTATATTCCAGCTTGGCCTATATTTTTGTCTGATTAGGCCACTCTTGGACCTGCTTTCCATAAGGAGTGGCAGTGACCCTGAGCTCTATATACAATATAACACTCCAATATTAGAGATTGACCTGCATTTTTCTTATTGTTGGTATTATTTTGCTTGAAGTTATGCTTTTGAAAAGAATATCACCAGAGATATTCCATTATTTTCCATAATTGAGCATGGTTTTCTTAAAAGAAAACATTCACTTGAAGGGAAGAGCATGGTTTTAGAATGAGAGGAACCAAGTGGGAGTTGAGTGACCCATTCTCTTGTAAGTCTGTCGCAGGCATCTACATAACCAAAAGCAAATTAGAAGACATAATTCATTTTCCTCCCCTATTTGGGGCTGGGGAACACCACCCAGGTCACTGTTTGTCTGCATATGCAAGGTAATTGGTCCTAGGGCGCATTCTAAAGGCATGCAATGTCATCGCTTTACAGTGGTACCTCGCAAGACGAATGCCTCGCAAGACGAAAAACTCGCAAGACGAAAGAGTTTTGCGTTTTTTGAGTTGCTTTGCAAGACGAATTTCCCTATGGGCTTGCTTCGCAAGACGAAAATGTCTTGCGAGTTTGTTTCCTTTTTCTTAAAACCGTTAATACCCAGGGTGCATTGCACCCAGTGGTGCTTCGCAAGACGAAAAAATCGCAAGACGAAAAAACTCGCAGAACGAATTAATTTCGTTTTGCGAGGCACCACTGTACTTAAGCTAAGTAGGTTTCGGTCCAGTCAGTGTCTAGATGGGTGATTGCCTGGGAACAATACACCCACCAACTTGGGTTCTGTGAAGACAGGTGAGACATAAATGTAACAGAATTGAAACAAATAAATAGTTCAAAGGTTTTTTTTTTAACTCTCCCTGTGTTAAGACAACTACCTCCAAACCCTTGCTAAACTGGTAAATACACTGAGTCATACCAAGAATCAGCTCCAGCTTTTCAACAGCCCTTGGGCAAGGTGTCTTGGTGGGCTCTCTTCCCTGAGTTGGTCTACCTCCTTTGCTGTCCCATCTCCCTCTGGGCTCATATTTGCACAACCGCCCAGAGAGAGAATGCAAAGCCAACTGAAGGATGCTGCTCTGCCTCCTCACTCTTGTCGCTGCATGCATGCTCAGAGAGGGGAGCGACAGGAAGGACTAGAAGTAGCAGGGCTAGTAGGAGGCTCTGGGGTGACGGTGATCCCTCTGCCAGGGTCTTGGCCTTGGCAGATGCCCAGCTACGCCTACTCCTGATGCCTGACCTCCTCTGTCCCACCCCAGGCCCCGTCAGTAAGTTAAATTTATCCACATGGCCACAAGGGGTCCCAATCCCAATGTAATTTGAGCCATGTAGAAATTCAAAGGACTGCAGCAGGAAGAGTATTTTTTATCTATAGGGCATTTCCAGCTCGTTTCCTCCTAGCGTGGCCTTTCGGTTTGAATGTTCTCCTTTTTTTATTTGTATGAAGGTTAGTCAACTCTAAAATGGAAGGAAGTCAAATCCATTACTCCCTGTCAGGTTTTACACCTGCAAAATTCAGATAATAAAACTGAACAAGTTTCTCAGTGTTCTGCTACCTTTGCTTTTATTAATCTCCTCAAAATTCAGGGATGGAAGTGCTAGAGCCCTGCTGCGTTTTAATCTTATCAGTACAGTTCCAGCTTGCACTTTTCAGCTCTTTGAAGTGGTTGGAGATGTGAAGTGAACTTGATTGTAAATGGCTCCAATGTATCCCATAGGAATGGACTATCGGATCAAAAACCTCTTTGTGGATAACAAGTGCTTTGCTTTACGCCTGTGGGACACAGCCGGCCAAGAAAGGTAGTGTAAGGTGCTGTATTTAGAAAAAGAAAGAAAGAAATTATAAAAATGTTACAGAAAAAGTACACATTTCTCCCCAAAACAGATACCACAGTATCACCAAGCAGTTCTTCCGGAAGGCTGATGGAGTTGTATTGATGTATGACATCACCTCAGTACATAGCTTTGCAGAGGTGCGGTACTGGATGAATTGTATCCAGGTAAGGAGAACAACTCTCTCCCATTATTGGCTGGCTTTTGTTTTCCCTGCTTTAGCTCTTGGTGATTGGGTGATTGCATTGTTGAGTTTGGACAATGCAGTCCTGTGTGTGTTTAATGAGAGGTAAGTCTCACTGCGTGGGTGGCACTGTGGGTTAAACCACAGAGCCTAGGGCTTGCCAATCAGAAGGTCAGTGGTTTGAACCCCTGCGACGGGGTGAGCTCCCGTTGCTTGGTTCCTGCTCCTGCCAACCTAGCAGTTCGTAAGCACAAAGTGCAAGTAGATAAATAGGTACCACTCCGGCGGGAAGGTAAACGGTGTTTCCGTGTGCTGCTCTGGTTCGCCAGAAGCGGCTTAGTCATGCTGGCCACATGACCCGGAAGCTGTATGCCGGCTCCCTCGGCCAATAAAGCGAGATGAGTGCTGCAACCTCAGAGTCGTCCGCGACTGGACCTAACTGTCAGGGGTACCTTTACCTTTACCTTTTAAGTCTCACTGCATTCAGTTATGTTTTCTTCCAGTAAAGGTGCTGAGGATTGCAGCCTTATCCACCTCTCTGTGGTGTTATTCCCATGCCATGGGCTTAGCCAAGGGGGGCAAGGAGGGGCAGCTGCCCTCCCAAATCAATAAAAATACATAGCTATCCGAGGTTCTGCCTCCCCACCAACAAAAGGCCTGCCTCCCTTAACAAAAGGCCTGCCTCCCCAAAAACACCAAAAATCCTAGTTATGCCCATGTCCCGTGTGGCTACAACTGCGGACCTGATTAACAACAGTACATGCTGAGTCATCATGAGATACATTTGCTGACTCGTTCTTGTCATGGAAGTTGCAAACTAGAAAAATCCATACTGCTTTTTTTAGTATATATGCTAGAAAGTGCATGATTGGTAATTAAAATAGCAAAGGGTCCATGATTGTTAGAACTAACAGATGCTGGAAAAGTACAGATGCTGGAACATACATGAGTGCTTTTGCTTGGCTGGAATGTCTCACTGAACTGCAATAATGCCTTTTTTTTGCTTGTGTGGATGAAGGATGGAGAGTTTTGTGTGTGTAGAACTTCTGGCTTTTGCATGGTTGGAATGTACTCTACTATACAAAGGTAAGAGTCAGATCTGTTGCTATGCCCATTCTTGCCTCTGGCCACACCCACCATGGCCATGCGGTCCCCAGAAGGTTGCTCAGAAAGAAGTGCGGCCTTTGGGTTGAAAAGGGTTTCCCATCCCTGGGACAGAATGTTGAACTAGAATGCCTTAAATCAAATCCTGGGCAAGAAAATTCCTTCACCCATAAAATGGGGGCCATTCCTGGTCAGTCTGACCTTCACAAGACCGTTATGAAGTTTTATTTATTTGAATTTTTTAGTCACTTTTCTACCACAGAGTGACCCAAAATGACTTAACATTAAAACCAATTGAAAACATCTAATAATTTTTTTTAAAGCACAAATTTTTAAACAGATGCAACAGATCTGGACTTACTGATCTCACCAAAAGAGACCACAATACCACTCTTAAAATTAAGAGCCAAGAGGTGGGTAAAGAGAAGAGTCTTTGCCTGACACCTAAAGAAAAAGACAGCACTGAATAGAGCATTCCACAAGTAGGGGCCACCACTGAAAAGGCCCAAGCTCATGTTGCTACCCCCCAAACCCCTTGTATAGGGGGCAGATGAAAAAGGGCTCAGATGATGACTGGATTTATGCCAGGATGTGGGGAGAGGCGATCCTTGAGACCCGAGCAGCATTAGGCTTTATAGGTCAAAACCAGCACTTTGTATTGATTCTGGAAACAAATTGGTAGACTGTGCAGTCCTGCTAGAATTAATGCTATATGTTTAGACTGTCTGCCCCAGAATTCTATACCACAGAATTCTATACCATCTGCAGTTTCCAAACCACTGTTTAATGAAATATGGGAAAGATTTTGCCTATTCTAAGAGATATGGTGACTCAGGTATCTAAAATATGGATGCAAAAATGAGTTGAGAGAAGAGGACCTCTCATATTTTCAACGTACTTTGGTTTCCTTAATTGTCAGGAACTAGGAAGGATTATTTTGCAGCCTATCCTATTTGTAGCCTCTGTAGAAATGCAATAGACGGTCCTTTATTGCTGTCATTTTGGCTTCAGCTCATACAGTATTTGAAGAAGCATATGCGTTTCTTCACAGGAAGGAGCAGAAGATGGAGTTGTTATCTTTCTGCTTGGTAACAAAACAGACTGTGCTGCAGAAAGAAGAGTCTCTCCAGAGGACGGTGCATACTTGGCCAAGGTCTACCCTTAAGTTTTCCTCTTATCTTTGTAATTCCTTCTCCCCTGAGTTTGGCAAACCAAAACAAAGTCAGAATAAATTAAAAGTAATATAATGTAGTGCTGCTTTTGAGGTTGATTGATTTAGGCCAGAGGCATAGGAAAAAATCAAATGCACATATATGACTCATGTGTTCACCTATGGCTTGGAAGTGACCACAAAATCATAATGCTCTCTTCCTCTGATTGCTTTTTTTGCTTCTCTTAACTAAATCCAATTGTGCTTAATGACATCAGGATGTAGGAAGAGCCCTGCGGGATCAGGCCCCAAGCCCGTTTAGTCCAGCTTCTTTTTTCCAACATTGGTCAACCAGGCGCCTGTAGGAAACCTACTAGGATATTAGCTTAGTAGAACTGTGCAGCTTGTGATCCTCAGCAACTTAGTTGCAAGGATCACATGGATTCTTGATTACCAGTTGTAGCTGACAAAAACAACATTTTGAGGGCAAAAACCACCACACAGTTAAGAAACAAACTAACATGCATGGATTTTTACTGGGTGGGTGGAGTTGCCATTAAGATGGCGGTCAGGAGTCTTGGGACCTCATCAAGAGATTCTGATGCTCTGGTATAGGTGAACACGTGGGGTTTGCAGGGCTCATTCCGTGTTTTTCTCCATAGGCAATGGCATGGGGGGACAGAGATAGGCTGCCTTTTATATCTTTGTTAGGGACGCAGGTGGCTCTGTGGTCTAAACCACTGAGCCCCTTGGGCTTGCTGATCAGAAGGTCGGTGGTTCGAATCCGCTCAACGGGGTGAGCTCCCCTTGCTTTGTCCCAGTTTCTGTCAAACTAGCAGTTCGAAAGCACACCAGTGCAAGTAGATAAATAGGTACTCCTGCTGCAGGAAGGCAAATGGCATTTCCGTGCGCTCTGGCACTCATCAGGGTGTCCTGTTGCACCAGAAGCGGTTTAGTCATGACCCAGAAAGCTGTCTGACAAACGCTGGTTCCCTCGGCCTAAAAGCGAGTTGAGTGCCACACCCCATAGTCGCCTTGGACTTAACTGTCCACAGGTCCTTTACCTTTACCTTATATCTTTTATACCATGCACCTGCATCTGAGTCTTGATTCTTTTATGAAGAGGTAGGATAACTTTGATGGAGAAGTACACTGGACTAGTATTTTGCACTCCATGGGCATGGATCCTTCCCACTCCCCCTGACAACTCACTCAACATAAGCCTTTGCCCAAATGTCATGAATAATTTGCTCTGTCTGCGGATATGCAGTAGCAAAATTTGCCAAGCTAATTTGGTCAAAGATGAGATGTCAGGGGTAGGCTGGTTCTCTACAGCAGGAATAGAGTCACGTTTGATCATGTTCATGGTAAAAATGTGTAGCTACGAGGTCAGGTGGTGGAGCTGAAAGTTGTTGTTTCCCCAATTAGGCATAATGTTTTTTAACTACCATTGCTTTAAAGGATGTGCATTTGTTTGTTTTGCTCTCATATTTTTTTTTGCCAGGAGTATGGACTCTCATTTAATGAATGCAGCGTTGCCTTAGGTCAGAATGTGACTGAATCCATGGTCAAATTGGTAAGGTGGGTAACTGGTGGCTCTTCAGCAAATAGCATGGACTTGGTGTGGCATGGGAGCTGCAGCAGATGGTGTGGTGGGGCTGTGTCATTCACCAGGTCTCTGTACAGCTGAGTTGATTCAGCATACTGGAACTCGGAGGAGGAGGGGTGCACAGTGAGGATGGCATGGTGCAAACCTGCTGGCAGGAGTGCCAGATTGGCTCCACTAGTGTGTTTGCACCATGCCAAACATGCTGCCATCATGCCTCTTCCGCCTTCCATCCTGGTACAGTCCAGAGACTCAGCCAAATGGAGGTACACTGCTGGACGGGAGTTGTTTTGTTTGCCATGAACAGCAGCACAGACAATAACCAATGTAGTCACACAGTCATTATAACAGCAATAGATGAGAACATCTTGAGGGGAAAATGTGTTTTCCCAGGTACCAAATATAGAACACCAAACATTCTACAAAGGGATGATGTAGTAAATTATTATGCAGAAGTTTTTCTTCCGAATAGGAATTTTGTAACACAAGAAATAGCCCATCCATATTTCAGTAAACTGTTTTTAAGGATTGCCTGAATGTGATTGAAATTGTACCTATGTTCACACAGAACACTAAACCTGGGTTTAGAGGTACATGGGTGACTCAGCTTCCACAAGCCCAACATTGGCCTTACAGTGAAGCGTTAGGAATGTAGGCTGTTAAATCTTTTGCACAACCCATTTAGTCCACTTGCAAAGTGCTCTTCTCATTCTACCCCTCTTCCGGTGAACAGACCACACACTGTTAAGTAAATTTTAAATGCTTTATGAACAAAACATTCCAAAGGTCAGATTCATGCATTTATGCAAGCAGCAGTAGGAGAACAAAGGCAGAATACTCTTGGGTAGAAAATACAAATATGGTGTTCCAAATATGAGCTGTAAGCCTGGAGCTTGCTTAGACACATCTTCCTTAGCCAGTGACGTGGTGCAGAGAGAGAGGGAACAGGAAGAGAAGACTTCACTTCCTCCTTCATTGGAGAAGAGGGGGTGTAACCTAGCTGAGTCTAGAAAACTAAATCTGTGGTCTTTACCCCTTCTTGCACTAACTAGCGGTCATGCAGTTATGTTTGACTGCAATTTCCCACAAAACCATGCTTTAGCATTGTGTGAACACAGTGTGAGAGCTTCTGAAAATCCTCTAGACTTGAGCAAAATACTTAACATGTTTCCCTCTATTATCATGTCAGGTTGCTGAAAACTCATGAAGATAAGTTCAAGCAGGAGATTTTGGAGCTTCCAGCGCCATCTGGAAAGAAAAGAGGATGCTGCTCATAACCAAAAGGCAAAAGATGAGATGTTTAAAGCTAATGGCTTTCAACAGATCCTTGTGGCTGTTATGCGGTTAGACATGTTTTGTTCCCCCCTTGAGTCTGGTGCTCAGTCCACCTTATATAGAATGGGAACCTTGCCAATTTACATTGGCCAGATTTTACATTGGTGTCCCAAGGCAGCTTTCAAACCTTATATCCCTCCAGATCTGTTCTTTGCTCTGTAAACTTTCTTGACAACAGGCCAGAGAAGAATCTCTAGTTCATTCCAGTAATTTCCGCCTCCCAATACCAAGCTAGTTGCTATAAGCAATTCTCTCCTGAAAGATGTGCCTTATTATGCCAATCAACAAACATATTCTGATTCTGAACAAATTAGTTGTTTGCTCCTTCTCTTTTCATTCTTATATAACTCTGTAAGCTTTGCATATTAATACACTTTCAATTCCTACGCTGTCATGGTTGGTAAATTCTTTCTCAATGTTTTGTTTAGCATGATTTTGCTGTTAACAGAGGGGTGGTACTTGGAGTAAAGCCTTAGAAGCTGATCTGAGGGCACAGGCAGGTTCATATAGGACAAAGCACTCACTAAAGCACATGGTCCTCAACAGTTTTACAAATATTTTAAAATAATAAGAATAATCAGTATAGATTCACTTTTAGAAAAAATGTAAGTATGTGGTATTCAAGTTAAACAAGAACAGTTGCAAAGCTATAATGTTTTCAGCTAGAAAACTGTAATGCAGAGCTTTCCAAAATGTGTGTAGCTACACGTTAATGTGTCGGCTGCAGTGTGTAGGTGTGTTGCGCGAACACTCTTATAAAGGGTTAGTTTAACCTCTGGTTTGCTAGCAAAATTGAATTACTGTGTCGCAAAATGATGCATGTCTAAAAAGTGTGTCACCAACATTAAAAGTTTGGAAAGCTCTACTGTAATGTTATACGTTTCCAAGCACAATTCAAAGTGTTGGTGTTGACCTTTAAAGCCCTAAACGGCCTGGGCCCAGTATACCTGAAGGAGCGTCTACACCCCTGTCGTTCTGCCCGGACGCTGAGGTCCAGTGCCGAGGGCCTTCTGGCGGTTCCCTCACTGCGAGAAGCAAAGCTACAGGGAACCAGGCAGAGGGCCTTCTCGGTAGTGGCGCCCGCCCTGTGGAACGCCCTCCCATCAGATGTCAAAGATATAAACAACTATCTGACACTTAGAAGACATCTGAAGGCAACCCTGTTCAGGGAAGTTTTTAATGTGTGACATTTTAATGGATTTTTAATCTTTGTTGGAAGCCGCCCAGAGTGGCTGGGGAAACCCAGCCAGATGGGCGGGGTACAAATAATAAATTTTTGTTGTCAGATCCCCTGCTCCTTTCTACTACCCTTTGTTTTTCCAACATCCATGTATAGATGGGGTGCTACACATAGACAAAAAAAGGTTTCTTGTAAATGCTATTTCAGTCATGCACAGAAGGCGGCGCTTTTCTTGCTTCTAGCTACCCTTTTCCAAAGGGATATAGCAGAAGGAGACTGTCTTACAATTGCTTGATTTTCTCCGTAAGATGGCAGCAAACACAATTTAAAATTCACCATTGATTGTATTAACAAGGTTGGGTCAATCTGAATTTCTTCCAATTTGAATTTCTTGAAATCTGTAAACAACTTAAAAATCAACAACGGTGAAATTAGTTTTCTAATGAAAACAGCTGTTTATAAGCAAATTCCACGAGTATGAAGAAAACCCACATGCTAATCATAAATCAGCCTGTAAACAAGAACAAAACGCTGTGTTCAGTGTCTGTTCAGAGATAATGACAATAATTGGAGCATAAATAGTGCAGAGTATGCTGCATTTTAAATATTGTTTTGCTTATAATAATAACTTGTCTCTCGACTCTGCTACAGCTTTGGACTTGCGTTTGCAGGCTCAAAGATTAAAATATCATACCATCTGACAGGAAACATCAGCTTAAAAAATATTCAGCTTTGTGGCTCTAAAATATTTTTTGATGACAAGGGTGCTATTTTTGTGGTCATCATAGATTCCCAACTGGGAAGTGAAAATTCTGCAGAAATCTGGCCCTCAAATGAATACAAAGGGAAATGAATAATAAAGTAATTAAAAGAAATGTGAGGGGGCAGCCTTGGACCCTCCGTTGGAAAAATCCCTGGGATGGATTTTTTTTTTAAAGTCTCCTGGAATGCACCCTCCAACCCTAAGGCCAGGATAAAGATGTTAGGGCAGGGGTAGCAAACATGGTGCCCTCCAGATGTTGTTAGACTCAAGCTCCCATCAGCCTATTTAACAATCAAGGATAATGTGAGTTAGTACAACAATATCTGGAGGGCACCACATAGGCAATCCTTGTTAGAGGCTTGAACAGGCCACTAAACTCTTCATCCCCTCCCTGCCAACTCAATCTCTTTTTCTTTTTCCAAACTTTTTTCCACTTCAACTAGAGCATAGGAACTTCAGATGGAGTATGCAGTGTGAAACATGCTATCACTTGTGGACTGAAAGAAAACAGAGGAGCTTTATCATATTGTTTTACTGGCCTAACAATTCCTGTGTTATCAACTGTTTGATGGTTTAACTGGTTAATTGTGTAATTATTATCACTGTACTTCCCCCCCCCACTGCATTTCATTTCCCTTTGACCTCACTGTTTATAATTCCTCCCACCCCATCCCATACCTGCAAGTCAAGATAACAATTTCAGCTTCCAATAAAATGGACTGTAACATATGCAAGTGTATGCTATTGTGTTAGTCTTTAAGATGCCACAAGCCCTATGGAAATCTCAAGATTCTGTACAGCACAGAAACATAAGAACAGTCAGTGGCCCATCTTGTCCAGCATCCTGTTCTCACAGTTACCAACTAGATGCCTGTGGCAAACCAGCAAGCAGAATTTGAGCAGAAGAGCACTCATCTGTCATGTGGCTTCCAGCAACTGGTATTTGGAAGCATTGCTGCCTTCTGACCATGAAAGCAGAGCATAGCCATCATGGCTAGTAGCCATTGATGGCGCCATAAATTTGTCTAATTGTCTTTTAAAGCCATCCAGGTTAGTGGCCATCACTGTCTCCTGGGGGAGCAAGTTCCATAGTTTGACTATGCACTGTGTGAAGAAGTACTTGAAACCACAGGTACTTGGGTTTTTATTTTATTTTTACAAACATACATATTTCTGCTTACTTAGGGATTCCTAGGAGTATATAGAAATCACTACCTTCTTTTTGGGTGCCCCAGTTTTCCTTGCAAATAGACATGCACTCAAGCACCTAATGAAGGGAATGAGGATGGTGGTTCTTAGCTATAGCCTACTTTCCTGAAATGACTGAATGAACGTTGAGGAAATCGCCAGGGAACCTGTTTGAAAATGCCATCTACCAACCCTGCTACACTGAGTCCAGGGCTGGCAATGAAGACTGCAGTTCCATGGCTCTTACTACTTGGAAGTAAGCCCCACTGAATTCAGTGGACTTAACCTCCACATACAGTATTTTGCATCAGGTTTGGTCTCACAGAAGCCATCCTGGACGACATTCTTACAACTGTTCAAGAAGACAAGTAGTGCAAGCCGATTTGTGTCTGCCCAGAAGTAACCCCCCCCCAAGAGTTCAGTGTAGCTTCCTCCCAGATATCTAGCTACCTATCCAACAGCAGCCACGAAATTAAAAGACGCCTGCTTCTTGGGAGAAGGGCAATGACAGGCCTAGACAGCATCTTGAGAAGTAGAGACGTCACCTTGCCAACAAAGGTCCGTATAGTTAAAGCCATGGTTTTCCCAGTAGTGATGTATGGAAGTGAGAGCTGGACCATAAAGAAGGCTGAGTGCCGAAGAATTGATGCTTTTGAATTACGGTGCTGGAGAAGACTCTTGAGAGTCCCATGGACTGCAAGAAGATCAAACGCATCCATTCTTAAGGAAATCAGCCCTGAGTGCTCACTGGAAGGACAGATCGTGAAGCTGAGGCTCCTCCAGTACTTTGGCCACCTCATGAGAAGAGAAGACTCCCTGGAGAAGACACTGATGCTGGGGAAGATGGAGGGCACAAGGAGAAGGGGGCGGCAGAGGACGAGATGGTTGGATAGTGTTTTTGAGGTTACCAGCATGAGTTTGACCAAACTGCGGGAGGTAGTGGAGGACAGAGGTGCCTGGCGTGCTCTGGTCCATGGGGTCACGAAGAGTCGGACACGACTAAACGACTAAACAACAACAACATCCATCTGGGACGAAGCCCCTTCATTCACACCCTAGACTCGTGCTTCCCAACGTGGGGCACTCGCCCCACAGGGGGGCAATTTGATTTTTAAGGGGGGCAATTCGAGAATGAGTTATTAACAGTTAATGGTCTTTTAGGCTTCCTCCACGTGAATAGGAGTTCACTTTTTGAATAATAAGAATTACGGTATATGTCAGAGGAGGGGGTGGGGATAAGGATTTTAGAGATGCTTAGAAAGGGCACGGCCAAAAAAAAGGTTGGGAACCACTGCCCTAGACAGAGGATGCCAGCCAGCATCCCGCTGCCAGTCAGTGTGGAGCAAAACGGGCTCGGCGGGTTTTGACTCAGCAGAGTCCGCTTCCTCGGGGCGCAAGCCCCTGCTGACCGCCAGGGTGCGGCCTTCCACGTGACGGGGCTGCACCGCACAGCCGGAGGGCCGCTGACCACCAACTGGCGGCCATGGGCGGTGGCTTCTTGAACCGCGTCGAGCTAGAGCCCCTGTCCGGGGAGGTGGGGCGGCCGTGCAGGCGAGGCGAAAGTGCTGCGGGGAATCTGCGGCCTCGCTCCCGTTCCGCAGCCCGGAAGCAGGAAGCGCCAGGCCCAGCCCTCCTCCTCGCCTGCACGGGGAGCGTCGCTCCCATGCTCGCTGCGCTCCGCCTCTCCAGTCTGGTGGGAGCCACCCGGGCGGCGGTTCATGGGGTGAGGAGGCGCGTGGGCGAGGGAGGGCCGCTTTCAAGTGAAGGCGGGAGAAGCCTCCGGGTGGGGGTGGGGTCTCTTGGCCGCTTGGTGGGGATGGGGCGGGGGGGTCTCGTCGGGAGCCTGGGCATGACAGGGGAGAAGGGCAGCCCCAAAGGACTGTCCCAGGCCGGCTGCCCCCTTCGGAGGAGACCGGGGTGTGGGGGGGCCAAAGGCCTCCATGCTCCTGTCAGTGGCCGGTGCTTTCCTCGCGCCCCACAGCTTGGAATGTCAGTGGCGGTCAGTGGGAGAGAAAAAAAGGGGGTGTTCTAAGGGGTAGCAGTAAGTTCCATAAATTGTGGTCCAGCGCTCCCTTAAGTGGGTTCTAACATGTGCGGTGTTTCCCAGTTAGCTGAGTATTTTGGACCCCCTGTTTTTCGAAAGCCAAGTCACAGAACCCCTCCTTTTGTAATTATTGATAACTCCACGGTAGTTTTTGTTATATGAATGGTGCCACGGACCCCCTGGGTGGGTTACACGGATTCCCTGGGGTCTGTGGACTAGCAACTGGGAAGAACCACTGCCTAGCAGAAATCTGGAAGTTTGTGTTCGACATAAATAGGCCTGTGCTTTTGTCATTTGTGCATGTCGAGGATCATATTTCTTGCAGCTGGTGTTTACAATCTCACCCGTGTTACATAATCCCTGAAGGCGTATAGGGTTAGAATCTCAGGTATGTTGTTGATTTCATACAGGTGAATGAATGAATGCTAGAATGAGTTCCTGTGTCATTTATGCTGAGTCTTGTGAATGTTGGCAGTTTCATGAGACTTTTACAGTAAGTGATGAGGCTTTACCTCTTCATGCATATGCACATAAAGTAAAACAGGGCTGCATTATAGATTTGCAAAGTCAGCCATGCAATGTAAATGCCCCATTTCAATTCAGACTCGAGTAGTGTCTCTAAGGCTTCAATCCTGTGTTGTTGGGGGGAAGCCAAACAGCGTGGCTTACTTCTGAGTAGACATGCATAGAAGTGTGCTGTTAAAACAAACTGTTCTAACCATTATGGGGTATTCTTACTTCTGAGTTATCTCTTTAAGTCTGAATTATCCCTTGGCTACAAAAATGTGAGACCAGAACAAATCTGAAGGTCATATTGTCCATCCCTCTCCATTGATGCAGCTCCTTATTCAATTAACAACGGTAGAGGTTAGAACGTGGTACATTAAAGAAGTCGACAGAAAGCAGTGTCTACATCTAGTGACTGAAATCTAGGTGGCTCAAGGGAGCCACAGATGATCTATAGTTTTTCTTTCTTTGCTGCAGAGGGCAAGAAAAATCTTAGGTTCTCAAACCAGTCTCACCTCGAGAAAGTTTGTTGCCCAAATCTAGATTCTAACTAAGCCCGTTGATGCAATCCTGTAAAATAGGAAATTGTACTAGATTTAATATCTAGTTGAAAACATATTAACTGATGTATATACTATGTTATGTAAGACAATTATGTGAACATATATTAAAAAAATCACTTTGTAAAGCATTATCTGGAGGCAATTGACTTATAGCATGCCTGGATAGCTCAAGTGATTATAATGCCAAAGTTGCAGGTTTGATCCCTGCATTGCAGGGGGTTGGACTAGATGATCTTTAGGTTCCCTTCCTACGATTCTATGATTCTATGCCAGTTTCCTCATCTCCAACAAATTCAGAGGTTGATTTGACCCCACCCCCTTGTTCCCAATGTAGATCTTTATTCTCCCATTGTTTCTGATGTAGATCTTCACTCACTCTTTCTTCCTTGGGGTGGGACACACACACACCATTTTGTGGTTTGACTTAGGTGCCAAAATGTATTGGGCTGGCCCTGCTTCTGCACACACTTCCTATTTTGAGGGGGAATTGTGCTGGGTGTTTTGTTCCCAGGGCTGGAACACTGAATCCAACACAGGATCAGGAATTGGGTCTGACTGTGTGTATGAAGATCAGAGCTGCTGTTGCTGCTTGCTTGTTGTGGAGTGTTGGATCTCACAAGGAAGTCAGAATTCTAAAGCACATCTTTTGCTGGGAAAATGCTATAAAAACAATAGTAATACAGCTGTAAACCTGTTGCATCCTCCTGTTGATACATAGCTCATTTTGGACTCTCTCTCTCTACTTAGAAATTAAGCACTTCTCCTGCCAGTACATGATTGCATAGAGGCATCATACACCAGGACCTTGAGGGGTACTTCAGGAATGGCTTGACCCTCTACATATTTCCTCCTTTTAGTATCCTCTTGTCACATCTTTAGTTGTACGTGGGTGGGTTGGCCTTGATACTAAATTGTTGAGAGTTTCATAAATAACAGAGTACCCTTGCGGTAAAGAAATCGTGAATGAAAGGTTTGATAACTGAATGGTAGTTTGGTGCTAAAACGGATGTTTAACAAATGCTAAACTATAAGAAGGCTCAAAAGTTTACTTGTAAGTCTGCTTGTGTATGTTATTCTTGCTCTCCCTTGACCAGAAATAGGTTTTGTGAGTCAGATCCTCATTTGTAAAAAGTGGACCTTTTGTGAAATAGCTTTTGTGCTGCCTTGAGAAAATAAAACTTCACTGTGTATACCATATTTACTCAAGTCTAATACGCCATCGAATCTAATGCACACCTCAATTTTTGCAATGTAATTTGGCCAAAAAGGTGAGCATTAGATTCGAGTAAATACGGTGGTTTCTGTCTGTAAATGTATCTAATCCAACATTCGCTATGGCTTCCCATGTTTTTTTGGAAATTCACAAGCGGGGCATGAAGGCAAACACTTCCTATTAGGTGGTACTCGTAGTTGTAGGACAAAGAGCCTTGGCCTAGCATGTTTGTAATGCCACAAGATTTTGTGGACTACAGTCCACTTCCTTAGATGTCTATGAAAGCTTTTACCATAATATGTTTGTGTACAGTTGCATCTAACTAAGTCATTGCATGAGGAAAACAGTGAAACAGCTTCCACTGGTTTAATAGAAGTTCCTCTCCTTCTCCTACCCCCAGCTCCATCAGCTCTGAAGGGTTGGAGAACCCCCACCGTAGATGGAGGGGGGGGGAGGAGGAAAGAGAGAAGTTATATTGCATGAGTGACATTATTCCACTCGCACAGTGACTTCATCCCTCTCTGTGCCAATTCGTGCATTTTCAATGTAAACAATGATACTTTTATAGTAGACATTATGTGTTTTACTTAGATGAACAAACTAGCCCTATTTTAGAATTTTTAAAATCAAGGATCTGGGTGGAGTTTAATAAGTATGTTAATGAGACCTCACAGCCAGCTTTGTAATTTTAACACAAAGAAACCTTGCTTAGATTAGGAATTTGCTGTCCTTTCCTATGATCTTCTTTGAGGCACTGGAATATCTTGTTTCTTAACGTTTTGAATTTTCCCTAATAGGATTTTTCACCAGAGGACATGGAGCTTTCTGCCAGCGAACTCAGCATTTATGATAAACTCTCGGAGACCATTGACTTAGTGAGGCAGACCGGTTATCAGTGTGGTATGTCTGAAAAGGCCATTGAGAAATTCATCAGGCAACTCTTGGAAAAAAATGAGCCCCAAAGGGGACCCCCACGCTACCCTATTTTGATGGTACTCTATAAGGTAAAGCATTTGTGGATGATCTTGTACGTGTGCATGTCCGTATACAAAGTGGACCACAGTTTGAGGTCAACCTAATGGAGTGAAACCTAACGGCCAGAATATATCAAGCGAGATAAAGGCTTTAATCACTGCAGTGCCTTTCGTTACCATGCCTGTTGTCTGGCAGGAATGTTAGAAAGAACTGGCACACAGGGTCAAATTTTTGGTGCCTGGATGCCTGACCTAGTTTGGTTGCTGAAAGTCTGGTTGCATACTTGCATTTTGGCCACTACTGTATTATTAAATGCGCAGGGAGCACATTATGCTACTGATATATAGGCAAGAGCATGTACTGAGCGATAATGCACTGCAAGTAACATCCCCTCATTGATAATCATATTCACTAGAGTATTTGAGCCTACATTCTTGCAACAGCTTTTGTCAGCAGGTAGTGACACTAAAGCAGGGATGGGGAAGGCCAATGGTCAGGGCTGATGGGAGCTGGAGTCCATCCACATCTGGAGGGCCCCAGGTTCCCCATCCTCGCCCTGTAACTTCATGTTGCAAGCTTTGGTGTCAAAGTGATTTAGCTCAGCAGATCATAACCTACATGATTACCTGAAAGGGACAGTTCTCATTCTAAACAAGTGCCTGTCACTAATCTAATGCTTGTCTTCTCTTGCAGGGCCTGGTTATGCTGGGGTTAGTTTTACTAACTGCGTACTTTATGATCCAGCCGCATACGCTTTCGCCACCCGAAACGACGCTCTCCAGAACCCATGCGTGGGGCTCCCTCATTAGTCATATCCGACTGCTGCCTTTACCAATTACCAAGAAGTATATGCTAGAGAGTAAGAAAGTTATTTGCATATTTACTTAACCATAACATATTTGGGATGCATTGGTGGTAGCACACATGATGATATGCTAAGACAATACATGCTAGGGAAAAATATTCAGTAATGATGCCCCTACCTTTCATTGCAAAATAATATTGCTTTTTACAGGGAGCAAAATGAGAACTACTACCAAGGTCTATATGAGGTCTGCCTGCAGTAATCACTAATTAACTCATCGACATGCTCAAAGGCTTTGTTTTTGTGCTTACAACAAAGCTTAGCAAATTGCCTCCAGTGGACATGTTCTGAGACATTACACTCTGCAGCATGGCAACCTGCTAGCATTTTTTTTTAATGTTCTAAAACTGGTTCCAAACCAGTCACAAATGAGGATAGGCAGAGCCTAACGTTGTGAAGGAAAGTTTAGAAAGCACAGGGATGTTTGCTTATTGTTGGGAGAGCGGTTTAGTTTGTTCTGGATTTTTTGAGAGTGAAAACAAACCAGTTACCATCGGCCCCTTATTTAACAAATTCGTACTTCATGAAATTGGCGCAGGATTGCACGTACACACAGATTGTACAAGATAATGTGTTGCAAAAGGGAGGTTCTGGGAAGCCAAATCGGACAAGGTGAGGTTTTTCTCTGCTGCTGTTAAGTCTCCTCCTAGCATGAGCTGCTTGTCCCAGAGTGGAGTTTCCAGCTTTTTGTTTTTCCTGGATGGTCTCTGGCCGCACAACTAACAGGTGCAGCTTTTCCTGGCATGCTTTACTTATCACACAGCTTTACATTTTTTGGAGGGCTGCCAGGAACAAAAATACTTCGGTAAATTTGTCCGCAGTTTAAACTGGACTCAGAAGGCTTGTATTCATTTTTTTAGCAGTTGCATCAGACTTTCACCCTTTACTGCCTCTCAGGATGCAGAGATCCTGGCTTTACACCTCCTATATCAAGCACATATCGACAAATGATATCACCAGTTATCATTTTTTGTTATTCTAATGCGTTTAAAAACGTTAAAATCTTTAAGAATTGCTGTATGTTTTCCCACTTGGCTAAATATTTAAATCACACATTTAGTTGCTTGTGGAGTATTTCAACAATGTCCAAGTATATAAAAAGAGCCTGATCAGGATGCTGCTAATGGTAAAGTGACCATTAACTCTGGTATTACCTGTAAACACGGCTTGCAACATAATTCTGAGTCTTTCCACTAGTGCCCTAAAACATTCAAACATTCAAACATTTGTACAGGATTACTCTGTGCTTAAGGTGGTGCTTTGAGTTCTGCATGGAACTTTGGTTCAAAGTTCAGTACCAGTAAATCTGATTTCAGTAGGTAGGCTATGAAAGGTAGTGGTGCAAATCTCTTCTGTTTATTTTTTGTGGTAGTGATTGAAATGTACACGTCAGGAAATGTAGCAATCTCGATCTTTGTCAACAGAAATGAGGAAGCCCCTCTAAGGAAACTCGGAATGAGACTAGTGTTTTGTAGCTGAACTTAGTATTCAGCTGCTGCAGCAAGGTTTCAGAGCAGTTAACTCTGAACTTAGCATAAACCAGACATGGGTACGGGCAGAACTGTCTAAATTGCAGCTAGCTGAAAGGTCATCACAACTGTGCTGCCTTCTCAGGCAGATTTGTTTAAAAACCTTATCATGTCTACATGTTTTGCTTTTTTTTTTTTTTTGTTAGCGCTCAGTTGAAGGAAATTTTATTTCTGGGAATGCTTGGCACACAAATGGTTGTTTTTCCTTTGTGACAGTTGAGAATAAACAAGGGGTGGGTAAGGCAGAAGATACAGTGGTGCCTCGCAAGACGAAATTAATTCGTTCTGCGAGTTTTGTCGTCTTGCAATTTTTTTCGTCTTGCGAAGCACGATGTCGGAAAAGTTTTGGAAAAGCTTCAAAAATCACCAAAGTCTTTAAAACCTCAAAAAAGGCTACCACACCGCGTGCTATGAGTTGCTCCTCGAAGTCAAGTCGCAACTGTATTAACGGTGTTAAGAAAAAGGAAACAAACTTGCAAGACGTTTCCGTCTTGCGAAGCAAGCCCATAGGGAAAATCGTCTTGCGAAGCAGCTCAAAAAACAAAAAACCCTTTCGTCTTGCGAGTTTTCCGTCTTGCGAGGCATTTGTCTTGCGAGGTACCACTGTACCAATGTATTACTACTACTACTACTACTACTACAAATACTACTATTTATTACCTGCCCTTCACCCTAGGGTCCCAGAGTGGGTTGCAATTAAAATATAATATTAATATTAAAACACAGTATTGCGCAGTGGATTAACAAAGACTATCTCCACAGTTATTTATTTTTAGCAATAGCAATAACAAAACAACCCCTTCCACTTAAATTAGGTTGTTGAAATGGGGAAAGGTAACCAGAAATGAATTTCTGTGTGTGAAAGGATCATGAACAGAGATCAGTACTGGTATTGAAACCAATGCCTCAGCTCAGAATGTATATGTTGGCTAAAACCCATTCCTGCAGAAATAAACAAAACCACATCCAATTTTTGTAATAGTCCCGAAATCTATTGAAGATGATTTCCTGAAATCTCACACTCCATTTAAAAATGGTGTGTGTGTGTTTAAACTTTCCCCCTCCAATCATTTCTCCTTCAAAATCATATGGTCCAACTGCTTCTACCTTTGCATAGATCGGGGTGCATATTTGCAAGACTAAATAAGCATCTGGAATCCCTTGGGTGGGGAGTTTTGACTGAAAAAAGGCCTAGCAGGGAAAGGGCTAAGCACTCCCTATGCTGCTCCTGTGTTTGAAATTGTAGCCTCCCTATAGTACTTTTCATCAAACAAACATAGAACATTGGTGTTTGGATACACACAATTTATATGTGATGTGCAGTCTGCCACTCTCAAGTTTTAATCCTGGGCATAATCACTTCTAAGTAAGCTCTGATTTTGTACAATGAGACTTATACCCTAATAAGCATGCATAGGATTACAGACTGAATTGTTTCATGACTATTCTTACATGTACATAAGAGAGAGGATCCTTTTTTTGCTCAGATTTTCATACTGGGCTTCTACATGTTAAAGCAATGACTTTTCTAGCTCCCAAGTATAATAGCTTATCTGATACTATTTGCATTCTGTCAAAAGCAAATTGAAGGAATGCCATAAAGCCTTGCCACCTCATTCTATTAAGTATCTCAAGGCCTCAAAGGAAGATGAGGGCTTTAAGTGTAGTAAGTGGTACCTCGGGTTAAGTACTTAATTCGTTCCGGAGGCCCGTTCTTAACCTGAAACTGTTCTTAACCTGAAGCACCACTTTAGCTAATGGGGCCTCCTGCTGCTGCCGTGCCGCCGGAGCACGATTTCTGTTCTCATCCTGAAGCAAAGTTCTTAACCCTCAGGTACTATTTCTGGGTTAGCAGAATCTGATGTAACGTGAAGCGTATGTAACCCGAGGTACCACTGTAGTTGGATGGGTCTCCTGACATATTTTTAAAGGAAAGACTGATGGGCTGTGTAGTCACAGCTGTTTACTGCTCTCTGATTCTTTCTAGCTTGGGAACTGTCATAGTTTCAGGAATCCTACATTCTGCAAAATCTCCCATCTTAAATTTAGCTCACTGCCGTGCCCTTGCATTAGTTGGTTGATTACGTCCAGCCTTGTAAGTCACTTTCTGCATCTCTTAAGCTGGGAAATGATAAAAGGGAGTAAAGGCTGCTGCCATATCAACGTGTGTTTCATAATGTACAATGCAAAGAGCAAATGTAACTAAGCAGCTTTGCTGGGATGGAGAAGAATCCTGTTTAGAGGCTGACTCAAGCTAGATGTCAAGCATCTTTGAAGAGCTGCTGTTTATATTTTCTGTTGCAATATCACATCAGTACATAATGAAAATGATTAGACATTAAAGGAATTGCTTTGTAGCTTGAATTAGCTGGCAAATTAAAAGAGGAGGGCGCTCTTTGAAGAGAATGGCTCTTGTTTGTGAAGGCTATTGACAGCGATGGAAAACTTCTTCATCACTGTTGCAGTGCCCTGAAAGAGGAAAATGTGGTGGGCACTTTATATTTCCTTTGCCTGGACCAGGGGTCTTCAACCTTTAAGACAAAAAGAGCCACTTGGACCTGTTTCCGAAGAAAACAACAACTGGGAGCCACAAAAACATTGCGACATTTAAAACAAATATATCTCCGGAGCCGCGATCTGACAGCGGGCGGGAAGGTGACGTCGGGACGGTGCGTGACTAACGCACGCACCGCCCCCATGCGACGTCACAGCCAGTACAGCGCCCGCCACAGTGGGGAGTGTCGGGGCGCACAATGCGCCTCCTCCCCTTGCTAGTATCCGCCCTGGAGCCGCGGCAAAGGTGTAAAAGAGCCACATGCGGCTCCGGAGCCGCAGGTTGCAGACCCCTGGCCTGGACTGATATGGTCACTGGAACTCAACGTTCTAGAAACCCTTTCTCCTCCACTTCCAAGAGACTAGATCTATCCTTTAATCACAGATTTAAATAATGAACTATATAATAATGTACTGGGTGAAACCCAAGATACGCAGGGCTATTTGGAGACATGATTACTCTTAGCGCTAGGATGTGGTCCAGTGGGAAGCCCTCCATTTGTTCTTGGCACAGAGAAGTATCTTTAAAATGATGGTAGTATGGAGCTAGGCCAACATTCATTCGTCCCACATTTCTAAATTCCTTTGACATACCAAATCCAAGACTAGAAATGATTATGGTCTTTGCCAGGCATTTCTGCTTCTCTGAAATTGTTTGTAAAAACAGGTCAGACTCTTGGGCTCAGATTTGGCTGTTTGCAGACGTGCATGATGTAAAGTGGTGGGCAAAATTCCAGCAGGTCACTTTTAAGCTGGCATATGAGCCACAACTGCCTTGTTAGCAATGAACTGCAACTGAGGTCTGAAATAATATGATTGGACGAAGCAGTGAGGAGTCTTTCTACATTTCAGAACCCTTGAGCACTACCTCCAAGCCGTAAATTATGAACAAGGGTGCGGTTAGCAAAAATG